AGTCTGTTTTTGTTGATCTAATTTATATCCTACTCTCATTAGGCAAAAGCTACGGAGTATAGAAACAGCGTGAGAAGGAGTTTGAGACTTAAAGGAAGGTGTACTCCCCTAACTGCACCCACTGTTGTATTACGCAGGGCCGCCTCTTCTCCTGTGAGTGGGTGTTGGACGATCTCGGCCTGGAGAATCACAAACCGCCAGAACGGACTGATCGTTCGCAAATGGACCAAGTACATCAGTGGGATTTTCACATGTGGAGTCAGCTTAAGTGTCTTATGACTACTTTTATCTGTGCGTTTAAATTGTTAAATAAATGAGGATTTATGATTAACTGTGTGCAGTGTGCTGATTGGTTTAGACAAAGGACAAAGAGAGAGCAGAGGAATTAACATCCTGACTCTTTGCTGGTGTTGCTGTTTGATATTTAAACACTTTACTTCTTTAAGTCGGACAGATGTTCAGTTTAACACAGACAGTAAATAAAATGAGTTAACAGTTATTATAAAGCCTTTATTAACACTTTAATTAATCTGAACAATGATGGTGTTCAGCTGTAATAAAAATATAAAAGGTCAGTTCAGGAAAAGTCTTTTAATTTGAACTGAAGTGGTTAAACTCACACATGGATCATTTTGCCCCTTAAAGCAGCAGGAGCCACATCTGATCTGGTCTGTGTGAAAATGGCAGCTGCTATAGAAATGACTGAGCCTGGCCAACATCAGTCATTCAGTCCTGAGGTGAAGCGTTACTGCAGGAACCTGAGGTTGGTTACTGAGAGCATCAGGCTGCAGATGGAGCTACAGATATAATGTGTTTCAACTGTTTCTACACACAGTTCACTGTTTAACTGGACAATATAATGTGTTGCAGGTGTTGAAATTGTTGTATCTGTTCTTGTGTTGTAGTCTTGGATTTCTTTTTTGAACACTCAGGATACTTGGATACTCTGACAGTATCCATGGTAACAGCAGTACCCTCAGATCAAGGAGAAGAGAAATAAACAGAGAGGTGAATAAAGATGTTTCAGAGAGAAGCCACTTCCTCCCACAGCGTCTCTGTGCAGGTAGAAACAAACCTGTGAGCTCTGTTCTGTTTCATCCCTTCATCATCTAGTTTATTAGATTAACAACAGTCCACACTGAACTACAGGGAAACACTTTATTCATCTTTTAGAAGCACAAACAACGAAAGCAAAGATTAAAGATTGATCTGAATTCTGTCTTAAGTTGATGTCATCAGTTATAAAGCATCCAGTCTTATCTGACATGGAACAAAACAAAGAAACATCAGAGCGTTCATCGTCTATAATGTCATTCTGCATCATTCTGATTGATCAGATCAGCAGTTTAAATGATCTTCATGCTGTTTAATGTTTCATATTTGCTGTGATATTTGTGATTTGCAGAGAAAACAGGGTGAATGACATCTAAACATTTCATTTCACTTCCAGCACAAACATCATGTTCTTTCTCATATTCAAAAGAAAACAAAGATCATCTGTAATGAGCGAGCAGAGCTTCAGCTGCTGAAGTCTTTCTTTACTAAGCTGCTGTCTGTTTTTATCAGCAAATAATTACACAAACAAACAGGAAAAAGCAATTATTCCCAGCAAAAGAGTTTTAACAGAAGAAAAGAAAACCAACAGAGCAGAAAGATTTTCTAAAGACTGAAAAGGTGCAGGCTGAAACAGCAGCTCACTCTTTTTTACAATCCTCTACTTATTAGAGGTGAAAAAGTGAAAACAAATGACACTTTACAGAAAACACAGTGAAACAGAGAAGAGCCTGAATGTTACAGAGGAAACAATTATTTTCAGTAAAATAGAGCAGAAGTTTGAAACAAATGATTGAACAGAGTCACTGAGTTATTTAGATATTAAAAGCCTGATTGATCACTGCAGACAGACTGAAATCAACATTTTGTCTCCTACATAGTGTGAAAAGATCCAGAAATATCTCAGACTCTACACTGGAGCTGACCCAGAGGGATAGATAAGCAAATGTCGAAATTAAAAAACACAAAACGATTTAATTATAACAAATACTTTTTTACTGTAACAGCAACTGGGAAACAGTGTCCCACAGTGACTTCTGATGTGTTTTCTTTGAATTTTGCAATTATTCACCAGTTGTGCATCTTTTTTACCTATATAAAGTAATCAGAAATCTGTCAGAAACTGACCGAGCAGAACAAGTCTGAGATTTTAAAGTCTTGTATTATGCATGCTGGCCCTCCCTCGCCTGGTGGGTGTTCTTAAATTCTGTATGCAGAAACAATGAGGCAGAAACTTTAGGGGGCTTCTAAGAAGACATTAATATTCGACTCCCTGATACTAAAACAAAATGCTTGTTGTAGCATCAGGTATTTCACCGTACTTTCAAGCGTGTAAGATATCACCATATCAAAATACCAAAGTAATAACATAAATACATTAGAATGGAAGCACAGCAAAATAAACAATATAAATGTCCATACTTTCCATTGTGCTTCAATTGATGTGAATTTCATCTTGACCAGTAGAACCACAAAAAACTAACTTGTTCTCATTGGGTTATTGTAACTAACATTTCCCTAAGTTCTACACTTTTATCATATTGCATGTCAAACACTAGTAGGATACAACCTTAAAATAAGTAAAGTTAACTAATGCATTTGCCACTCATTGCAGTACTACTCTTCTGTCACACATTCACAAATTACTGTATTTACATCACTTTTAAAGTCGACTACAAAAGCTTACAGGGAAACCGTTTAACATAATGTGTTATACACACATTAGCACTGAATGCATTTTCAGATCACAACACAAGACCATGCATGACCAGGTACATACATGCTCTGTTGGGTTACGTTCAGCTGATTGACTTGGCCAGTCTAAAACCACTTTTTCCCCTGGTGAAGTCCTTTGTTTTGTTGCCAGTGTGCTTTGGCTCATTGTCCTGCTGCATGATAAACTTCCTCCCCGTTAGTTTCAATGCATTTCTCTGTAAACTGGCAGACAAAATGTTTCTGTCCACTTCTGAATTCATGCTGCTGCGACTATCATCAGTTACATCATCAATAAATATTAATGAGCCTGTTCCAGAAGCAGCCATGACATCACCTCCAGCATGCTTCACAGATGAGTTTGGATGCTTCGGATCATAAGATGTTCCTTTCTTTCTCCACACTTTGGTACAGATTAATCTTGGTCTCATCAGTTCATCAGATTGTGGTCCAGAACTTTTGTGGCTCATCTCTGTACTTAGCAAATTTCACTCAGTCCTTCCGATTCTTCCTGCTGATGTTTGCATCTTGTGGTGTGGCCTCTATATTTCTGCTCTCTGAGTCTTCTTCCATCATATTTCTGTCATCAGCTACTGTTGTTTTCCTTGGCCGACCTGTTGGACGTCTGTTGCTCAGTACACCAGTAGCTTCTTTCTTTTTCAGGATGTTCCAAGTTGTTGTGCTTGCTCTGTCCAGTGTTTGTCCAATGGCTCTGGTCGATTTTCCTTTCTTTTCTCAGCTTGACAATGGCTTGCTTTTCTCCCATAGACAGCCCTCTGGTCTTCATGTTGGTTTATCCTCTTTAGCAGGAAATGCAGTCTTTATAGGTTTGAACCAAGGATGAAAACTTAGACTAGTCATGCAGAGCTATTTAATGTTTGGACATTCAACCTTAAAGGAAACACCTGGGCAACAAGAAACATCTGACAGTCACATGTTCCAATAGTTTTCTCACTTGAAAAATGGGTGGGTTCAAACAAACTGTGACATGTCCTGAGTTGTTTCACACATTTAGATGTGAATACCAGGAAATAAAAGCTGAAATTCTGAACTCTTGTCTCATCTTTTGATCTTAAACCCAAATGTCTTCAGTGACCAACAAAAACAAAGGACTTTGCCTTACTGTTCCAATACATTTAGAGGGGACTGTATATATTATTCATAATCACATAGCTGATAAATCTGGTCAAACGCCCTCCGGTTTTTTTCAGGGAAGTCACAGACGCCGAGTATCAGTCTCTCATCCATCGTCTTTTTGTGCTGCGCATCGCATAGAGAAAGTTCAAGTCAATTTAACTTTGGCAGGGGCGGGTGTGTGCGTGAGACGAACACGACCGCGACAGTTTCATAGGAACACTCCCGCTTGTGGCTACGCCTGTCACAATGCCCGCACCGCCCTTCCAACACGCTCGCTTCTCATTGAAAATGAATTACCAGGTGCGTAAATTACTTCCTGTGTGAAAAGGCCTTATGGGTTTTAAGTTCCTCCCGAGCGCTATGCGCCACCTAGTGACCTCTTTAACTATCACCCCACCACAGTTACAAGTACAATCCAATGAAAGTGGCCTTTTAGTAACTATTTAATACATAATATCATAAAAAATAATTATATGGGTGTCTATTTTTTAAAGAGGTGGTATTCTGCTCATTTTCTGCCTTGCCGAAAAATGCTACCATAGCGCAAATCGCGAGACTCGACTCTACTCGGCCCTGCTCCGTTTTCCATTGCAGACAGTAACCAGAGATAGTACGTAGCTTGTCGTCATAGCGACGCACAACTGCCACGACGTAACGTTCAATGCGACACACACCAGCGATCCGCACAGTTTCTCTTTTTTAAGTTAAAACGTTTGAACCTTCCTCAGAATGTAAAGACAGATAAGCGGTATGAAAACCTTCCAGCTGTGTTTTCCTCTGCCGTTGTTGCTGCAGCGGTCTGTGTGACGGCGGGAGCAGAGGGCTCTGTGAGCGGGCGGCTGGCCGGCCTCGCACGCTCCTCCCACGGGTTGGCAAAGGGGAAGCAGGTACAGGTACAACATTTCTACAATGGAAAACCAACAAAGGCGAGTCGAGCCAAAGGGCCTCCGCTCAGACTAGCTTGGTTTGAGGGCGTGTCTGACCCCGCCAGCCGCTTGGCAAGCTTTATAACGCGTTTTCATTGTGACGTCACAAGTAAAGGAAGCGAAGGACTACAAACGAGCTGTTTTCAGGCAGTTCAGAGCAGAGCTTTCTGTGGGAGATGGGAACTCCCTTTGGGCTTTTTCACTTTGTAAACCTGTTACATGCACAAACAAGATATATAACTCAATAAAGGAGAGGGGAAAAGCCAAAAAGCAGAATACCACCTCTTTAACACATTGTTTATATTAGCAATAAACTGAACTGCACTATTTCAATGACTTTTTAACATCTCTTATTGTCTAACTGTAAACACATTTTATTAACTCTTTACATGCACATGGTCGTTAACTACATCAGTACTGTTGCTACGGTTACCTACAGTTTGACATTACAGGCTGGTGATTTAGACACCTGACAGCCAATGAGAAGTATTTCTGTGGCCATGATCTGCATCACAGTTTAGTCTATTGCAATATATTACAATGAAATCTCTGTTTCTTTAAAGTTTCAGTTATTGAAACAAATGTGTGATGTGGTACAAAGCGTTTTCTAAACGTGAAACCTTTCCGTGTTTCATTAGTTTCTGTATCAAGTCATTTAGCTTTTCCTCATGTGTTTCCTGCAATTTTTTCTTGTCCTCTTCAGTTTCCAAATTCTTCATTTCTTCTTCATGTTCTGTCAGTAAGTTGATAATTTCTTCCATATTTTTTCTCTTTCTGATCACGCATTTTACTAAGCCGCAAATTTCATCTCGATATTTTTTCTTTGTTTGTTCTTCGTTGTGAGCTGAAAGTGCCTTTAAGAAGTCATATTGTTTATCTTTGTCTTTCATTTTTTCCTCATGCTGTTCCTCCTGAGCTGCAAACTTCTTGTTGTATTTTTCTTTGAATTCATTAAACTCTTCAGCTTTCTTTCTGGCCTCCTCTTCATACGTCTTCATCTGATCCTCCTTTTCTTTCTTATGTTTCTCCACAATATCTTTTTTCTCTTTTTCCTCTTGTTCTCTTCTGATTCTGTCCTCTTCCTTTCTTTTCTTTTCATAATTTTCTCTTTCCTGTTCGTATTCTTCTTGAAGCTTTCTAAGTCTTCTTTGTTCCTCCTGTCGTCTCTGTTCATCTTCTTCATATCGTTTTTTCCACCATTCATTTTGTGTTTTCTCCCAGTTCTCTCGTTCTTTTCTCATCTCTTCTCTGCTCTCCTTCAGCTTTCTGTCAATGGTTTCCTTTGATTCTGACTCTGATCTTATTTTTTGCTCCAAAGCTTCAACCTTTCGTTTCCACTCCTGTCGTTTAATTTCTTCCTGTTGTTTTCTCTTCCTGTCTTCTTCTTCTCTCATTTCCTGTTCTTTCTTTCTCTCCTCACGTTCCTTCTTTATGTTCTCCTCCTTTTCTTTAAGTTGTTTTTCTCTCAGTTTTCTCTCCTTTTCAATTTCTGCTCTCTGTTCTTCCATTCTTTTTTTCATTGCTTCCATTTCCTCCTCATGTTTTCTTTGAAGCTCCTCCCTCTCTCTCTTCATCTCTTCTTCCTTCTCCTTCAGGATTCTCTCCATTTCTTTCTTTATAGCTGCCTCGGCCTCTTGCAGCATCTCATTGGTGTAGCAGCTGCCTCCATTTTCCTTCACCATGCTGTCAATCTTGGTTATCAGCTCACTGACTTGTGTGCGGTTTAGTTTATCATAGTTATCAAACACATGGTATCTTCCTCCACAGTCAGAGATCAGCTTCTTAAAGGAATCATCACATTTAAGTTCAATATATTCTTCAATGGAGACTTCATCATGTTTTAGTTTATCTCCTCCAGTTAAAAGAATGATGGTGAACTTTTCAGCATTCTTCCCAAAGCCTTCCTTGATGAGTTTTAATGTCTCCTTCTCCTCTGGTGTAAATCTGCCGATCTGTAACACCAACAGGAAGACATGTGGTCCTGGAGCCAGAAGACTGATGCATTTCACCATCTCCTCATAAACCTCTTCATGGGACAAAGTTGTGTCAAACAGACCAGGAGTGTCGACCACAACGACCGGACGACCGTCCACTTCACTCTGTGCTTTCTGACAAAGTTTGGTGACTGATGTTTGTCTTGATTCAGCTTTAAACTCTTTTCTTCCTAGAATGGTGTTTCCTGTAGAGCTCTTTCCACTTCCAGTCTTCCCTATCAGCACAATCCTGAGACTCTCTGGGCTCTGCTCCTCATCATCACCTGGGAAATAAGAAGACCTGGAGTTACTTTAAATATTCTCAGCAGCTACAGTGAAGGTTCAAGACTGTGATGATCAACATGGTTCAGGACACAGAAAAACATTTCAATTCAAAGTACTTACAAGTGATCTTGTTCTTCTTTATTATCCTCTCTTGTTGTATGACCTTTTCCATTTGTGCACGTGCAAATGTTACAGCTGTATAGCAGGATGGTTTATTTTCAGATTGTCTCATCTTTTCCACCATGTCCAGCAGCTCTGGGATCTGCTGCTTGTCCTTGATGTTGAGAACAACATCTCTTCCTCCACAGCTCTGACGGAGCTCCTGGATGTCCTTGTTTTCCTTTACAAAGTTAACAACAGCTGGAGCTGCAGGATCTGACTCCACAGTCAACAGAATCATGGTGAAGTCATCGACTCGAGAGCTGAATGTGTTCTGGATGGTCTCTAACTCTCCCTTGTCTTCATCAGTGAGGGGACCCACAGGTAGGACCAGGATGAAGACATGGACGCCCTCAGGATCACAGAGGGAGATACACCTGAGTGATTCCTCCATCACTGCCTCCTGAGGTTTTCCATACAAGGCAGGCAGCTCCACCAGGGAAACCCAACGTCCACACACCTCTCCCTGATGTTTAACACACTCTGATGAGTTGGAGACTGAATGAAACTCTGTCTGACCTAAAATGGCCTTGGCTGCTGAAGTCTTAGCTGCTCCTCTCCTCCCACACAGAACCAGGTTTAAAGCTGGTTTGATGTGTTCAGACTTTGGTTTGATGGTCTCTTCAGTGAAGGTGAGGAAGGTTCCTTTGTTTTCATGAACAATGTTCTCAATCTTCTGGATTAACAATGTCAGGTCATTGTTAACCATCCTGTACTGTCTTCCTCCACAGTCTTTAATGAGCTTACTGACAGAACTGCGTGTTTCATTCCCCTCATGTGTGCTGATGACCATTGAGTGTTTAAAAGCATCTTGACCAAACAAACTCAGGATGAACTTCAGTGTTTGTCTGTTCTCCTCAGTGAAATCAGAAACCTTCACTAACAGCAGCAGAACATTTGGTCCAGGAGGACAAAGACTGATGCACTTCCTCATCTCTTCTCTCGCTGTCTTGTCAGACAGACTGAAGATGTCTGGAGCTTTCACTACTGTTAATGGTTTTCCTCTCCACTCTCCACAGGCAGCCATGCAATGTTTGATCTGGGACTTTTTTTGGACTTCAAATTTTTCAGGCCCTAGTATTAAGTTACCAAGATTTGTCTTGTCGTCCTCACTCTTCCCCAACAGCACAATTCTGAGGACAGATGCTGTGATATAAAAGAAAGATGAAGCATTTTGTAGCAAACATGGATGCTGATTCAGTCTTTTACAAGATCACAGAAATAAACGACATTTCATTTAGCTGACACTTTTATCCAAAGCGACTTACAATTGCTATATATGTCAGAGGTCAAACACCTGGAGCAACAACGTTTTTAGTTTCTTGCTCAGGGACACATTGGTGGATGGGTCACAGTGGGAATTGAAGCCAGGTCTCTCACACCAAAAGCATGTGTTTTATCCACATTACCATCGCCACGTCATAAACCTAAACATAAAATAACTGTCTGTGGATCCTTTTCAATCATCTCTCTGTGTAATATTGGCTCACAGCTAGAATTTATGTTTAAGTCCAGTTTATTGGATAAGCAGAATTATAGTTTCTAAACACATTCTTAAAAAGACAATAATTATGATGAATATATAATTTACTCACCTTGCTTTGTGCTTTCTGCTGATGATGAACTGTGTGATGTGCTTCGTTTTAACCCTGTGAAAGAAAGAACCATCAGCTACTGACGTCTGATTCATCTTAAAGATCTTTATATACAGAACATGATGATCGTCTCTCATCAATGTACTTACAGCTGGGTACATATGATCTCCACCCTGTGAAAAGATAAAACCATCAACTGAAATAACTCCTCAACTCTGTTTCAACTTAATCAATAAAAATTTACATTGATCACATTATCAAAACTGTTTCTGTACTCACCAGGAGCTCCAGCAGGCCCAAAGTCAGAAATGGTTGTTTTCTGTTGCTTCAAGCTTTGATGATCAGCAGATACTTTCTCATCAAACACATCACAAATGACATGCTCTCCATTGTTATTCTGCAGATTTCGATCCAAACTAATTAACAGCTCAGAACGTTCAAGGTCCTTCATATTCAAGGATCTGCATCTACACATTTTGATCATGTCTGTTAATGGTGGGTGTTGCATGTATTTTTTCTTTAAACCTGAGCTCTCCTCTCTGGGTGTTGATATCAGAACCAGTGAATGATCAAATGATCGATCACTGAAGAGTTCCAGGACTCTGCAGAGCCTCAGTTTGTGTTCCTCAGTGAAGTCTTCAGGCTGTAGAACCAGCAGGAACACATGAGGTCCAGGATCAGAGAGTCTCACACAGTTTGTCACATGTTCTGTCAGTTTATCTTCAGAGATGTTGGGATGCAGCAGATCTGGGGTGTTGATGAGAACTATTTCTTTCTCCTTCAGCTGTCCTCTGACTCTCAGACAGCAGTCTGGTTCTTCCTCAGAGATGAACGCAGTCCCTTCCAGTAAGATGTTCCCCACTGAACTCCTCTGATACCAGCTGTTCCCCAGCAGAACAACCCTCAGCTCAGACACTGAAAAGAAAAAACTGTTCAGTTTAGAGTTCGACCACAATCAAAACATTAAAATTGAATCTTTAACTGCTATTATATAGCTCAGCTTTTTTAAGTTGGACTTCAGTTACTATGTCAGCTGTTATCATCTCAAAAATACATTTGGATGGCAGATATTCATAACTGCTGCTTCCCTTCAGTGGTTTCAGATCATCTGACACAGTAAAGATACATAACAGTGATTCATTCACATGTAATCTTTAATTAAAGGAACACTGTTTCTCGAAGAACATATTGCTTTATGTGTTTTGACTGGTTTGACTGGGAGGTTGTTGCACGAAGTACATCCTCTGCTAGGCCTTCTTGGTGAGGGAGGTGATGTTCAGCCCAGAAAGCGTAAGGAGTGCACTGTGTCAACTGTGGAGTCACACGGGGTGAAGGGGTTGGTGGGGCTGGGCTCTTACTAAAATACATCTCTTCTGTCTTGTGGTCACTTCAACAGATGGTCAATCTCCCACCTGTTGGCAGACTGATCCCCACTAGAGATGAGCCCACTGAGGGTGGTGTCATCTGCAAACTTCAGGATCTTAACGGCCTGGTGACTGCAGGTGCAGCTGTTAGTGTACAGAGAGAAGAACCGGTGCTGATGGTCCTGGAATCAGAGACATGTTTTCCCAGCTTCACTGCAAGTCTGTGATCCACCTGCAGGTGGAGTCAGGCACTCTCAGCTGAGAGAGCTTGTCCTGCAGCAGAGTGGGGATGATGGTGTTGAAAGCCCAGCTGAAATTCAAAAATAGGATCCATGCGTAGGTTCCTGAGGAGCCCAGAGGGGTCCAAGAGTGGGTTTGAGACGGATTTGAGGCAGGACAAAAAGTGGCTGCAAATCTAAAAGATTTAACCCACAATCTGTCAGGGCGACGGGTCTGCAGTCATTTAGTCCTATGGTCCTTGGTTTTTTGGGGATGATGGTGGAGGATGTGAGGCAGGCTGGCACATGTCGTGTCTTCAGTGAGGTGTTAAAGATGTCCAGCTGATCAGCACAGATCTTCAGGGTGGATGGGGAGACAGAGTCTGGACCAGCTGCTTTGAGGGGGTTCTGCCTCCTGTTGACGTCCTTCCTTGTGATTGAAATAGTCGTCTGAGAATTTGAAGTCTCTGGAGTGGGCAGATGTTGAAAGCCCCAGGCCCATGCTGAGGTGGTGGAGGTGGAGCTGGTGGTCTGGAGTTGATCAATGGAGTCCCGGAGGATGGTGCCAGAACTGCCTGAAATGTGATCTATCTGAGCACTTTACAGACAGAGGCAGAGGCAGAAGCTGGAACTGGTGCACCTGAATGCAGCTCAAAGTAATCTCAGTGTCTCTTTCTCTCATCTTGCGCCATGTGTGAGGACTGAGATGGGGGTTACTACAGTGTCAGGGACTCAAGGAGTGACATATTTTAGGAATTATTTACTCTAAAAGAATAAATTCAATACAGAGTATAGAGTTGGCTGGTCCTCAGTGGTTTTACTTGATCTCTCTTGTGTTAACTACTAACTGAAGATGTGTAATATTTGGAAACAGTCAGAAGAGACTCCAGACTCACCTGATGCTACAGCCGCCATGATGTCACTCTGCTGGAAACATCAGAGATGAATTCAACTGAAGATCAACTGCAGGTTTAACACCCTGGAGGAAGCAAAATTTAAGCAATCTTATTCACACAATAAAAAAATCTTATATTATATATTATTATTATTATATATATATAAATATAATTCAGTCAGGACGACTTTCATCATAGACTGATATTGTTATGGTGGCAGCCCGGCTGACGGTGAGTGTCCTGGTTTTTTCTACTTTTTATCAGTTCTTCTGCTTTTTTCCTTGGTTTCCTGTTCTCTGCCCGCCTCTCTGTGTTTTCTCCCCCGTGTGATCTCTCTCTCCCTCTGCTCCTGAGCCCAGCCAACTACCTGCACCTGCAACCCATCAGCCACCTCGTCAGCCTGCCACACCTGCCAGTAATCAACCTCATCCCAGCCTGTATTTCAACCCCGGTTCTCCACACCATCCTCGCTTGATTGTCGTTGCTCCATACCCGGTGCCACTTCTGTGTTCAGGCTTCCACGTTTCTTGTTTTTTCAAACTTACCCTGTGCCTTGTCATTGTCTCCCCCTAACCTTGTCTCTCTGTCTGTTTCCCTCCCAGGTACACTCACCCTCGTCCCCCGTTCGGCTGGGCTCATCCACTGGCCCACTCCCCTTCGGACCTCCCTCTCGGCGTCCTCCCTGTTCCCCTGCCTCTCCTCGCTTCCTCGGCCCCTGTGTTCCCCGGCTCCCTGGCCCCCTGTCTCCTTGGTTCCCCGTGCCAGTACTTCCCCGACGTCCTCCTCTCCCTCCACTCCAGTCCCTCTCACCCTTTTTTCCCCCAATAAACCTCCTTCCCTCTGAATGCTGCATTTGGGTCCTCTCTGTCCACACACCACACCCCGTAACAGATATGCAAATTTGTAGTTAGTTTTGACGTTATGGCTCTGTTCTGGGATCTCCAGACACCTCCCCGCCCATCCATGTGCATTAACACAGTGGAGGCACATAAAAGGTCCCAGGCAGAGGGCGGGAGGAAGGACCCCCCCAAACACCCACAGACAAACCTCCCCGGCCTTCCATGCACTTACGTGGAAGTGCCAGCATGAGGATCCACTGAACACATATTAAGCCAGTTACATTGGTTACGGTTTTCAGGAGCATTAGCTTAGAAGGGTTAGCATTAGCTTGATAGCAATAGCTTACTTGCATTTGCATTAGCTTCGTAGTGTTAGTAATAATAATATAATAATAATCCTTATTTGTGGAGCACTTTTCAAAAACAAGTTACAAAGTGCTTTAACAAGTGTAAAGAATAATACAAATTAATATAAAATTAGTAAAATACAATAAAATAAAAGGGATAAAATAAAGTCAAATAAGATCGGGAAAGGCTCTCCTATAAAAGTATGTTTTAAGAAGGGACTTAAAAGAGTTCACTGACTCAGCCGACCTGATTTCCTCGGGCAGGCTGTTCCAGAGCCTCGGGGCCCTGACAGCAAACGCTCTGTCCCCTTTAGTTTTCAGTCGAGACTCTGGAACAGACAACAGACCTCTGCCCGAGGATCTCAAGGTACGTGCTGGTGCGTATGGGACTAAAAGGTCAGAAATATAACAAGGCGAGAGGCCATGAAGAGCTTTAAAAGTGATCAATAGAATTTTAAAGTCAATTCTAAAACATACTGGGAGCCAGTGTAATGAAGCTAAAATAGGAGTAATGTGGTCATATTTCTTTGTTCTGGTTAAAAGCCTGGCAGCTGAGTTCTGGACAGTCTGGAGTCGATCAATAGATTTTTGGGTTAAACAGGTGAAAAGGCTGTTGCAATAATCCAGACGTGATGAAATGAAGGCATGTAAAATGGTCTCGGTGTCCTTAAAAGTTAACATAGATTGAATTTTTGCTATATTTCTAAGTTGATAAAAACATGATTGAACAAGCTTTGTGGTGTGCTGCTCGAAATTTAAATCACTATCAAACCAAACACCAAGGTTCTTTGCCACAGGCTTAATGTGATTTACTAGGGAACCAGCAGATGGCAGTATTTGATTTGCCATCTGCTGAGACCCGATGACCAGGATTTCTGTTTTGTCTGAGTTCAGCTGGAGGAAATTATTTGACATCCATTTTTTAACTTCACAAAACTTCACAAAACTTCACATAGCATTTCTTTGTGGCAGTAGCTCAGTCCGTAAGGATTAGGCTGGGAGCCGGAGGGTCGAATCCAGCTCAGACCAAAGTTGTGGAGCGTGGACTGGTGGCTGGAGAGGTGCCAGTTCACCTCCTGGGCACTGCAGAAGGAGGCTTTGAGCAAGCTCCTGAACCCCCAACTGCTCGGGGCGCCGTACTGACTGGCAGCCCCCTCACTCTGACATCTCTCCGTGTGTTGCTATGGGTCGTGTTTTTTCGCATGTGCATCTGCATGTGTGTGTCTTTCAGACCTGTGTGTATACTAACATGATAACAGAGTGAAAACATTGAGTTTCCCCTCTGGCGATTAAATAAAGTATCTCTTAATCTTAATCTTTGTAGAGTTAGCATTAGCTTCGCAGTGTTAGCGTTTCTTTGTAGCATTTGCATTAGCTTGGTATCGTTAGCATTAACTTAGTGGGGTTAGTGTTAGCATAGTGGCGTTAACAACACTTTGTAGTGTTAGCATAAGCTTGTAGCGTTAGCATTGCTTCATTACTTTGCATTAGCATAACTCATAGGGTTAGCAATAGCTAGCTAACTATGTTAATGTTAAGGTGATTAATGTAACTTTAAATTATGTAAATAACACTTTGGCAACATAGTTCTCCAGCTATGAGCCCCTGAACCAATCCTGCAATCAAATATTTAACAAGAAGCAGTTAGGTTGCTTTCCCGGAGCCTTCTCCAGCTCAGGGAGAGATTGTGGCAGCAGAGGAACAAATGGAACCAGCCCTGGAGGAAACTGGAACTACACTTCCCAGCGATCTCCACGGATGCCGCCAGAGTGACGCCATGTGTTTGATGCCGTTTGCCTAAGCAAAAAATAGACAGCTGGCCAGAAAAGCCTAACTTCACTTTCAGTGAGTAAAGTCAGTGATATATACATTATATTGACAAAAGTATTGGGACACCTCTCCAAATCATTGAATTCAGGTGTTCCAATCACTTCCAAAGCCACAGGTATATAAAATCAAGCACCTAGGCTGCAGACTGCTTCTGCAAACATTTGTGAAAGAATGGGTCGATCTCAGGAGCTCAGTGAATTCAAGCGTGGTACTGTGATACGTTGCCACCTGTGCAATAAGTCCATTCGTGAGTTTTACTCACTTCTAAATATTCCACGGTCAACTGTTAGTCTCAGTGACGAATCTCGCTTCTCTGTCTGGCGATCTGATGGACGAGTGTGGGTTTGGCGGTTGCCAGGAGAACAGTACTTGCCTGATTGCATTGTTCCAAGTGTAAAGTTTGGTGGAGGGGGGATTATGGTATGAGGTTGTTTTTCAGGGGTTGGGCTTGGCCCCTTAGTTCCAGTGAAAGAAATTGTTAATGCTTCAGCAGACCAAGACATTTTGGACAAATTCATGCTCCATCTGGAAACAGTTTGGGGACGGCCCATTCCTGTTCAACATGACAGCCTTCCCACAAGAGTTCAAGCTGTTATAGCTGCAAAGGGTGGGCCAACTCCATATTAAATGAGATAAAATTAATCTTCACGTCCCTGTAAAGGCAGGCGTCTCAAAACCTTTGGCAACAGACACGTTACACATAGACATCAAAAGGGGCTTCAGCACCTGCCCTTTTACTTCTTTAAGAGAAAGTGCCCTTTTTTCTGGGATGCTTTTTTTGTTGTTGTTGTTGTTTTAAAATAAACGAATATACAGTATATTTATTCCTGTTTGCAACATATTCCCTGTCAAACAAATATATTTATTGGGGAAAAAATCTAAACAGGCTATCAGGTCGGAAGATGAGACTTTAGAGTTCGATGCCCTCTCTCTCTCTCTCCTCTCTCTCTCTCCCTCTCTCTCTCTCTCTCTCTCTCTCCCTCTCTCTCAATTCAATTCAAATTAGCTTTATTGGCATAAATGTGTAACAACAATATTGCCAAAGCATCATACAAACTACAGAAGAACAATAAGCCCATACATTTCATTAAACAAGTAATAATAAAAAAAAGTAAAGTAATTAAAGCATGTGTGTTTGTGTTAGAAAAATTAAAATATATTAAAAATTAAAATAAAATATAAAAAACAGTAAGTGTGTGTGTGTGTGTGTCTGTGAGTTTAAAAAAATAAATATATATTTAAAATAAATAAATAAAACAGTAAGTGTGTATGTGTGTGTGTTAAAAAATAAAAATATATAAAAAATGTAAATTAAATAAATAAATAAAACAGTAAGTGTGTGTGTGTGTGTGTGTGTGTTAAAAAATAAAAATATATAAAAATTTAAATTAAATAAATAAATAAAACAGTAAGTGTGTGTGTGTGTGTGTGTCTGTGAGTTTAAAAAAATAAATATATTTAAAATAAATAAATAAAACAGTAAGTGTGTATGTGTGTGTTAAAAAATAAAAATATATAAAAATGTAAATTAAATAAATAAATAAAACAGTAAGTGTGTGTGTGTTTAAAAAAATTAAAAATACAAATAAAATAACTAAATTAAACAGTAAGCGTGTGTGTTAAAAAATAAAAATATATTAAAATAAAATAAATAAATACAACAGTAAGGTGTGTTTGTGTGTGTGTGTGTGTGTGTGTCTGTGAGTTTAAAAAAATAAATATATATTTAAAATAAATAAATAAAACAGTAAGTGTGTATGTGTGTGTGTTAAAAAATAAAAATATATAAAAAATGTAAATTAAATAAATAAATAAAACAGTAAGTGTGTGTGTGTGTGTGTGTGTCTGTGAGTTTAAAAAAATAAATATATATTTAAAATAAATAAATAAAACAGTAAGTGTGTATGTGTGTGTGTTAAAAAATAAAAATATATAAAAAATGTAAATTAAATAAATAAATAAAACAGTAAGTGTGTGTGTGTTTAAAAAAATTAAAAATACAAATAAAATAACTAAATTAAACAGTAAGCGTGTGTGTTAAAAAATAAAAATATATTAAAAATAAAA